TAGGCCGGTGGCCGGTGTATTATTTAATGAGCGCTTACATGTATGTTGTTATGGTGCTCTTTGTATTCCAGGGCCTGCAGCACCAAATTAGCCACATGGCAACGCAGATCGAGGCCGCTCGGCTGCTGACGTACAACGCCGCTCGTCTGAAGGAGGCTGGGAGACCTTTCATTAAGGAGGCCTGCATGGCTAAATACTTCACTGCAGAGGTGAGCTTCCTGATTCATTGGCTACAGTTCATTACAAGGTTTTTAGGATTGTTAATGTATATTTCTAGCATGAATTGTGATTGTTTCCTTGGAGCACTGAGCTGTTTTATCAATCATACATATTATTCTATTCTGATCTCTTTTGTGTTGCTGAATCTTGATTATTCTCTTCATAATTCATCTGTTTCATAAGTCTTTGTTATATGTTCTGTAATCTCTGCGTTATATATTCAGTTATTCTATATTCTCTGAAACTCAGTGAAGCATCTCCCTAGTTAAATTCAAGTCATTATATTATCTTATGTTTCAGGTTGCAACCCTAACCACATCAAAGTGCATCGAATGGATGGGAGGGGTGGGCTTCACCAAAGACTACCCCATAGAAAAATACTACAGAGACTGTAAAATTGGTGAGTATGACTAGAAAAATACTTGAGTTGTGTTTGCTGCCTGTTTTGTGAAAGCACTGTTTAGATTAGAGGTGGTTTAGGTGACTGAGACTAAAGCTACGCCGTGTAAAATGACACAGCTCATAAGGGCTGCAGGGAGGTCAGGTGTAGCTGTTTGTGATTGGACCACAGTGGGGTGGAGCGTAGGGCTGATAGCAGCGGCTGTAATCGGACTCTGTAGGAATTCCCCTCTCAGAGTGTCATTATGCCAACACACAGCCAAGGGAAGTTGCCAGGGCAAAATGTCACTTTTCCTTTCATCGCCTCCATTTCAGCTCCTCAGTTCTCCAGCTGGAGCATAATGAGCCTCCTTTGTCTCCTGATAGTGAAAGCTGCAGATTTGTGTAGTGTGCAGGGGAATTTGACAAAATTGACCTTGTGTTTTTTTTTTTTTTTTTTTGTACAGCAGGAATTTATTCTAATGCTTTGTTTTGTCTTCATATGCAGGCACCATTTATGAGGGCACGACGAATATTCAGCTATCCAGTATAGCAAAGTTCATTGATAAGGAGTATGACCACTGAAACCATCTGACTGGAGCCTGGTAGATTGCACTCTGCTGTGTTACACTCCATAGGTTTTTTTTTTGGTTTTTTTTCCTCAAATGACTTTGGTGGGATAAATGCAGCAACATTGCATTGTTGTAGAGCTGCTTTCATGTTTTTAGAGTTTTGTTGCAGTTTCAACTTGTACACTTGGTAAAGTAGTTCCCACTATTGATGTTACTGATGTAGTCACAGTTCCCCAGCTTTGAGGTTAAAGTTGCTTTGGTGTGATAATTTTTTTTTTTTTTTTTCATTTCTCCATTCATTTTCTATCACAGCATTTTTCATATGTAGATCTCTACCAATTTCCTCTTGGCCATATTTGTGTTCTTCTGCTTATTGTTATGTGTTGATGAATCAGGTCAGAATAACATCTATGTATTGCAATATGAGAAGGAATTTTTTTTTGAAAGATATTAATTGGGGTTTTCCTTGAATGTTCCAGTGCATACAGAAGGTCTGATATGATTGAGATCAGTAACTCAATAGTGCATTTTCTTTGCAGCATGGCTGTAACAGTCCCTGCACTTACATGCTCCATAAATACTGTACAGTGCCTTACTGGCAAAACGAGAAAGCAATTTCACATCTTAAGAAGAAATTATATGTAAAGAGTGATCTGTCAATAATTGACAAAATCAATAAATGTGAAGTATACTGTGCTACGATCAATATCATCTTTGGTTTGAGTGAGGTGTCGCCTGGTTGCAGATTAATACCAAGTTCTGTCACTAGATGGGAGCATTCTCCAGAGTGACAGCAGCATTCTGAGATGAGGCAGCTTCTCAGTGAAAGGGCAGTCAATTACCACGTCTCATAACAGCCTGTCACCTCTAATGATATTTTATATCAATTTAATTATGCCGGTGCTTCAGATGAAAAGAGCCTGCCTTGCATAATTGCCTCACTGATCATTTTACAGGTGAGATTGATTACATTTCCGTGGCCTATATGCTGTGTGAAATGAGGTGTATTGTTTTACACGTGTCCAAATCTACAGACCCCTAAGAGCTAGTACCCATGACCCCTTACAAAAAATGTATATGTTACTTGCAAGGTATCTGTTTAACAACAAGAAAAGCTATTCTTTACTGAAGGTAACATAAGTTATTTATTGAGAAAAAGACAGAGTCATAATTGCGCAGTGGTAGAGATTGGAAGTATTGCTATCAAATTAAGAAATGTTTAAATTTATGATTTCCATGAAGTTAATGGATAACAGTGCATTTTTATACACTGACTGTCTGACATTATGTCATTTTTTCTTTAAAACTAATTAAATGTTGTTTTAACAGGAAAGTAAAAAAGCTCTTTCTCTTTGGTGCCCTGAAAACCCTCTATCTAACAATGTACTGAGAGGAAAAAAAAAAAAGGGTAAAATGGTCTATAAAAGATAAACAGACAAATATATAAAGACATTATTTTATCTTCACATATTTTATCGATCATTCCATTTACTGAATATGGTTCCAAAATAATGAAATGTCTAGTTTGATACTGTTTTATGTCATGGAAGAGAAGATCGAGTATTGTGATCATAAGATTATATGTACTAATTAATATATGATAAATATTCAGTGTCTTCTATTGACACTTTGTCAAAAAGCAGTTTTGGAGAGTGTTTCCACATATGAAGGAAGATGAAAAGTGAGATGTCTGTCAGACAGAGAATGACCATACATACATTGTATTTCACCACCATCAAATTCTGTAAAAGAAACTGAACTATTTGTATTTCAGTGAGCTGCTGAAGAAGTATAATTTAGTCCCGGGTCTTTACTGAGAACAAATAATCTGACATGATGTAATTAGATATAAACCTCTGTACTTCAGGTTAATCTGAGGATGGTGTTGGTGTTATTGTGTCACTTTGAAGTGAAGATGACAGATGCTCGGACAGACATATTATAAACATATTCTTTCATATCTGATTAATAAGATCAGGCATTTCCAAAATCACTTAAACACCAGAACTGTAAAGGGGAAGCACGGGCCTGCGTTTGCATCATTGATTGAGTGTACTCTGTTTTCCCCTCTGATCCACTCTGACTTGTTCTGTCTATTGAAGGAGCCCCTGTTTAATGAACATAATCTGATGAAAACACAGCTATCTGCTTTTCACTTTGAATCGGCAAACGCAGCTCAACTGGCCTCTTTCTCCGCCCCCATCTTTAACACAGCTATGAGACCTCTAATTATGCAGGGATTCAAGTAGCTTTTCACAAAACACAGTGTTGTCCTTTAGAGCTGAAGAGCGCTCCATGAGCTAAAAGGACAGGCTGCATGTTTGTAGGTTGAGCAAATTCAATTTGTTTGATTAGTTCACTGTATCTGCTTCACGTTTGGTTTAAATGATGAATCTCAAATGCATCCCATGTTGAGTTTTTTTTTTTTTGCACATTTTCTTTTATTTTTGGCCATTTCATCAGCATGTCTGAGCCAACTTTCACCCTAAATTATACCTCAGTGTGTGCACAAAAATACTGAGGTGCCTTTTCATCAAAGGCCTGGAGACATCATTTCTTTGTGTTTCATTCGGCTGTTTGTCAGTGACAGATTTGTTTGTCGATGCAAATGACATTGCAGAGGCCAGATGTTAGATCCAAGAGTCCAGGATCCGTCATAACTCTGCATCTCAATCTGTAATCTTAGTTACAGTTTTAGTCGAGTTTTCACTCTCAGTCTGAAAGCAGAAACAGATTTTGTGTCTTTATTTTCTTCTAATCTAATCACACTCGACCATATTAATGTCTCATTACACATACAAATATGACTTGCTGCATCCACTATTGTAGCAAGTGACAGCAACAGGACCTTGTTTCATGCATTACACCACCTGCTGCCATTGTAGGCCTGCGGGCTTTTATATAGAAAGCTGATTTGAAAAGGCTTTATCACAATGGTAAGCCTTCAGTTTGATGTCTGCCTGTAGCACTTCCTGACTAATAAAATTACACTGGAGTCAATGAGCTCCGGTCTAGGTGAAATGCACAGTGCGTGTTGCTTTCCTGTTGCGCGAAGGTGGAAGGGAGGAAACTTGAAATGCAACAGATGAGTGACAGGTTGAGCCTCAGCAGGTCACAGTGTTCAGCAACAGCTTCAGCACAGAAATAGAGTATTAAAAAAATGTTCAATCAGTCTTGTGCAATAAAAAATAAATATAATACTACTTTTTAAATCTATGTTACGTCATTAGCTTGATACTATTGTTTGATATATCTACCGTGGTTTACATTAATGCGTAAAATCTATGCGTAATTTGCGTAATATTTGTGCCAAGGCCAAGTTGCTCAGCTCTGCCTTCAAATGTGATAATCTCTGGGCCATTTATTCAATTTACTGACCGGTGATTGCGGCTCGCGCACGCCCCAAAAACCTTGAGACATTTTCCTCTTTAATCTAATTGGATGATAACTGTTGAGCCCGAAGCCAAAACGCTTGCGCGGCCCTTTTTTTTTTCCTTTGAGTCTATTCTCGTCACAGCCCCCCCCGGATTCATCTCAAACCCCATTTGCTATTGTACCTGCCCAATAGCAGAGACCGAGCGCGTTTTAACTCGGATGGCATTTTTTATTTCATCATTACAATCCGGCGCAAGTTTGACGCAGTGATCTGTGCGCTCTCACTCCGATCATCCTCAGGAGGTGGACGCGGCTTCACGCGACTCTCTGTTTTTATTCTCTGTCTCCTTCTCCTATGATTTTAACATAAACTATAAACCAAGAAAATCTTTTTTTAAGGCGTTTTTCTCCCTTTGATAATTTTTGATGGTTATCCACATCGGACAGTAAACGGTGATGGCAGACTCTGATGCTCAAGAGACTCGCCAACCTGCAAAAGATTCGCCGTTCTCCATAAAGAACCTGCTGAACATCGAAGACAAACCCACGAAGCCTAAAAGCTTCCTCGGCTCGTCCAAAGGAGTGTTTGAAGGCAGCTTCTTCTCTCGGCTCGGTGACTTGTCTCTCCCACGGTTTGAGTTGCCCACACAGAGAATTGGACTATCAGGGCAGTATCTGGAAAGAGCGTCCACCTGGTGGTACCCATACACGCTCGGGGCTCATCTCAGGACCGGGGGTAAATATTAACTACTTTATCTCAGATAAGGATCCGAATTTAGGTGAATTTTACAACAAAAGGCCTGTTGGCATACTCCATATTGTGAAAGGATATGTGATTCTCATAATTAGATGCTTAATTACAAGGAATCATGTCATATAAACTCTCGATTACTATCAATATTTTAACAAAATGAAAGACGCATAGGCCCATTCCGTAGGCTATAGTACGATCTGAAATACAGGTGATTGCCTTTGCAGATCACGTTTGTAAACTGTAAAATATCTTTTCTGCAGGGTCTGAGAAGGCCAACCTAAGGGAGGCATCACCGGCACCGGACAGGCGCTCCCCGGATCTCCAAAAAAGTGACCAAGATGTCAAAGAGGAAAGCGCCGACGACGACATCGCGCTGGACGAAAGTGACGCGGAAGAGCCAAAGAAAGAAACAGACCACGGGGACGACTGGAGGAGAAAAACGGACGAGCTGGACTCCGAGAAGAAGCCCTGCCGAAAGAAGAAGACGCGCACGGTGTTTTCCAGGAGTCAGGTCTTCCAGCTGGAGTCCACCTTCGACATCAAGCGCTACCTTAGCAGCTCGGAGAGGGCAGGCCTGGCCGCGTCCCTGCACCTGACGGAGACGCAGGTGAAAATCTGGTTTCAGAACCGGAGGAATAAGTGGAAAAGGCAGCTGGCCGCGGAGCTGGAGGCGGCCAACCTGAGCCATGCGGCGGCGCAGAGGATTGTGCGGGTTCCCATACTTTACCACGAGAACGGAGCCCCAGAAACGAGCGGTGGCCCCGCTGCAAACTCACCGGGGAGCCAGTCACTCGTGGCTTTTCCCCACCACATGTACTATTCCCACCCGGTCCCTCTGCTGAGGCCTGTTTAACATTGACTGTCATTATGAGCTGTAAATATGTTTTTAAATGAGAGTGACCTTGATTGAAAAAAAATTACAATTTTGTATATTTTGTAGATTCAACGGGCACAATGTTAGGTCATATTATTATTATTATTATTATTATTATTGTTATTATTAGGCTATTATTATTATTGTTATTATTATTTGTAATGATCCTTTATCCTGCTGAAGTGTCCTTGGGCAAGGCACAGAGTCCCTATTACAGCCCTCAAAGGTGTTGCAGAGGGATACTAGAAAATTATCATTATTATTATTATTATTATTATTATTATTATTATTATTATTATTATCTCAAAGTGGGTGAATATATTTTAATGTATTCCATTTGAAAAAAAGAACTTGTTTTGAACAGGGTTGACTGTCCATATGTATTTTACAGAGAATTGTGTCAGTGTTTGTAGCTAAAAAATGTGGAATTTAATATTTTGATATTTTCCAATATTGTGCAATACTGTTGGCTTCACATTAGGCTACCAGCCTTTGTCACCTATAGTTCACTTTTACAGAAAAAAACGACCCTTTTCTCTTTGTAATAGTGAGAACAATCATGTGATCCTTAAAAAGAAAAAAAAAAAGCATCCCCGAAAAACTGCAGGTGTAGAGGCAATTGTTTTAATGACGCAGTGTTTTCCCGGTAATTTCAAAGCCATGAAAGAGCCAAAAATAGCCTCTGTTTTTATGTATGGTTTTCTTCTGATATTGTTATTGAAATTCTGTATATTATATGGTCTTACACTCAGTAAAGATTTCGTTCCAAAAAGAAATGTATGTATCCTTAATATAAAAGTGATGCACAAGGGCAAAGAGTTATTCATTTCAGTCATGTCGTAAAAAAAAAAATCTTGGTTTTCAATCATTTGTGAGGATGGAGTGATCTATTTGAAACATCTCAGACGACATATTAAGGCACAATGAGGTTATGGTGCTCTCCAAAATAAAATATCACCTTTGAATCATTTTAACAGTTGAATAATGATGGCCATCTTTTTCTTAATCTGGTAACTTCAGAATTTTGGAGCTTCAATTTGAACGGCATTTTAGAGCCTTTTTTTTTTTATTTAGGTGTTATCACTGATCTTGTTTTGCTACATAATATTGCGCTTTCTTTAATGAAAACATTACATTCTGGTAATTAAGATCAATAGGCTGTAGAATAAGGTGGACATGTGGAAATTAAATGCAAATTTGGAGAATTAAAGAGCAAGGCGTTGTTAATTTTTCATAAATTTAGTTTAACCACACTCATTTTTCTTCTTTTAGATGGAAGAGTTATTTTTATTTTTCTTGGCACCTGAGAAGAGATCTGTAATCGCCTACTACATGACCTGCTGGCCTAGGCCTATATGAGATTAGGAGTTATTTAAATAGATTAAACCTGTTGTTTTCTCTTCTTATCAAAGAAGAAGAAGAAGAAGAAGAAGAAGAAGGAAGGTTACAACAGCCTGATTAAACCAGCATAGACCTGTATTCACAGCTAGCCTCAGAAGTTACTCTAGGCTACATTATCGTGTTTGTATATTTGTAATGTATTTATTTTAAAGAAAGACATAATAACTCAGAAAACACATCCCATCTCATGTGTCAATGAGGGAGAGAGAGAGAGAGAGAGAGAGAGAGCAAGAGAAAACGAGAGAGAGAGCGGGCGGAATAGTCCTCTGTCATGTGACCTGCCCCGAGACAACGGAAATATACGTCAAAGCAAATCAACCATTCATATCGTAGGCGGGAATTTGAACATTCATTTCAACCAATCAGCGCCCTCTGGTTTATACGGCAGCACTTGCTTAGACGGGAGTTAGCTTCACGCAGCCGCCTTTGCTAGCGAGTAATTTCCACGCTACATATATTTTTTGTATTTTATCGTAAAACCAAGGCATAATAATTAGGATTGTTAAACAAAAGAATCGTCTTCGTCTGAACGCTACTAAACTGAAGCGGTAAGTGAAGTGAAACTGCTAACACCGGGGCTTATAGTCTTCGTTGTCTTCACTGTTAGCAAACACCGGTGGCAGCAGATGTGGGCTTGGTGTAATTGCTGGATGTAACGGAACAGTTTGTATTGTTTTTGTGAAATAAAGGGCAAATGCTCTGGCTGGGCTTGGGTAAAAGCAAGCAGGAAAACCGTTGGTCCAAAAGTTAGCTAGCAGATTACTCCCAACTGATCGAAAAAGGAAATTAAAAATGTATTTCAGAAAATCGCAAAGGCATAAAATGCATGCTTTACAGCTCATTTGCCAGCAGCATTGAATTCACGGATGTATTTCCATTTACAGCAAGCCTAATTATACTGGTAACTGCAAGTTTATTGTCTGATAGAAAGTAGCAAATCAATAAGTGCGTGTTTTTCTTTTCAGTGTAAACATGATAAATGTCTTAAAAGTGATTGATCAGTTATATTTAGAAGTCAAGAACATCTCAAAAACCACTTTGTAAAGGTACTTGCAGAACCACAAGTACCTGTACAATATAATGAAGTTAAATACAAAGTCCAGGAAACTATTACTACAGCTGTGAAGCTTATAATATAAATGAATAATGGGAATAAAACAATGAATGAATGAGACATAAACACATGTTTAGACAGTGTCAGGTAAGCGTCAATTCAACTATGGTATCCAAAGCTTCAGTTTCTGATGTTATTGAATTAGATTAAACAATATTCTAATCTGTGTATAACCCCTGTAAATTGCTTGGAAGTATCGATTTTCGGAGTTAGTGGTTATTTTGCTCTTTTGCAGATGACAGGCTCAAACGAGTACAAGCTGAACCAGGGACCAGAGGACAGCATCTCTGCTGTCAAGTTCAGCCCCAGCACAGCTCAGTTCCTGCTGGTTTCCTCATGGGACTGCACTGTCCGTCTCTATGATGTCGGAGGCAACACCATGCGGATGAAGTACCAGCACACAGCTCCAGTTCTTGACTGTGCTTTTTATGTAGGTCACAGGTTTTTGTATGCATTTATGTTCCTTATTTTCATGTCAAAGCCTAGAAGTCTGTGGTTCTTACAGGTAATGTTCACCTTTTTACCTGCAGGACCCAACACATTCTTGGAGTGGAGGTTTAGATGCACAGTTAAAAACTCATGATTTGAACACAGACCAAGGTATGTCGCAAGCCTGTTAAATACTGTTAAAAGCTTCTGGGCAGTATCATAACTCTTCAACTATGGGTTAAATTTGCTAAATTTGTTTATTACATTCTATTGTCTAATGTTCTCCTTAAACAGATACAATAGTTGGAACACATGATGCCCCCATTCGTTGTGTGGAGTACTGCCCAGAGGTTAATGTCATGGTAACGGGTAGCTGGGACAGATCAGTTCGGCTGTGGGACCCGAGGACGCCGTGCAATGCTGGCACCTTTACTCAGCCTGAAAAGGTAGAGCAAAAGAGACACATTAGTGTTTAACCATGTTGTTTGTGTCAGAAAGAGTCACTCAGAATCGCTTAACTAATGTAAATGTAAAGTACTGTGAATGTGCAAGATTTTATGATTGACTTTCCTGCAGGAAGATATGTTATCCAAACTTCCTAGTTTATCTACTAGTTTAGACTTCATTTCTAAACCTAAATGAGATGGTATTAAAGTCACAATGACATGACATTTTCAGAGTTTCCTGCTGTGATTGAATTGATGTATTTGTCAAAAGAAACAAGATGTTTAGGAAGGACATAACACGTTGAACAGTCATTTAAAAGAGTAATCTGGCAGGAAGTTACTTGGGCATTGAAATACTTTGATTTATGTTTATGCTTTTATTATAGAATTTTCATTCATACGTACCACTGGTACACAACATGGTAGCCATTAAAGCTGTTCTCTTCTTACATTTCGTACTTAATGTTCTTACTGTTCATACTTACATTTAATTAGGTACAGATGTTACAACTTGATAATACAGGTTCTTCATAATTATTTGAGTTTATTGTGAAAAAGCTGAATACTACATTATGACCGAGAAAATACAGAAACCTGGTGAAGAAGGTGTCATTTCACTGTGATCCTGTTACCACTGTTTGTGTAGGTATTGAGTGAGACATTGCCAGTGTTGTGTCTCCCCCTTGTCTAATACGTTATCTATGTGAAAGGTGTATACCCTGTCCGTGGCTGGAGATAGGCTAATCGTTGGCACAGCTGGAAGACGAGTCCTGGTGTGGGATTTGAGGAACATGGGCTACGTACAGCAAAGAAGAGAGTCCAGCCTCAAGTATCAGACTCGCTGCATTAGAGCCTTCCCCAACAAACAGGTACACTTTGAATTACAACTGACTTTTCATCAGTTAAAGTTTACACAGTTCTAATGAAACATACAGACAATGAAAATGTGACTGGTTATTTACTAGAATATCATATTGCAAATACAGATTCCTGTGTTAATGTGAAGAAGTCAGATGGTAACTTCATATTTTCTGTCTCGGCTCCAGGGCTACGTCTTGAGTTCAATTGAGGGACGTGTAGCTGTGGAGTACCTGGACCCAAGCCAGGAGGTTCAGAAGAAGAAGTACGCCTTCAAGTGCCACAGGCTGAAGGAGGAAGGAATTGAGCATGTTTACCCCGTCAATGCAATCTCATTTCACAGTGTCCATAACACCTTTGCCACAGGTACGACGTGCTAGTTAGTACTTGACAAAAGCAATGATTTAGTTTGTTTCTGTTATGAGGCAGTTTGCTTTTACAAAGCTCATAAATTTACCTGTGACCTTTTCTGTGTTGAGCTGCCAAGGTTGCACGTGGAACACACTGTTATTGCAGATCCATATCGCAGCAGTAACACGGCCTAAATCTTTTGAGGTTGACCTTGAGCCTCTCCTTCTACCAGGTGGCTCAGACGGCTTTGTGAACATCTGGGACCCGTTCAACAAGAAGCGACTGTGTCAGTTCCACCGGTACCCGACCAGCATCGCCTCTCTCGCCTTCAATAACGACGGCACCATGCTCGCCATCGCCGCGTCCTACATGCATGAGAAGGGAGACATTAGCCACCCAGAGGATGCCATCTTCATCCGCCAAGTCACAGATGCCGAGACCAAGCCCAAGTGAGTCTTCCCCACCCCTGTTGTCCCCAGTAATGCATAGTATGGCAGCTTGCTACTCACTGAATCTGTGAGCGGCTGCATTTACAAGGAGCACGTCCAGCTGCAGCGTATGCTGATCTGTATCTCTGTCCATCCACCTTTCAATATCCGACAGTTGAAAGATGCACAGATGAGAACTTGATCCCCCCCCACCACCCCCAGTCTGTGTATCTGTGCTGTCAATGTTCAGACAAATATAAACCTGCTTTACAATGCAATCCATTTCAGTAGCCATGTAATAAATACTACCTTCATGAAACTAGAAACATACTTTTTTTTTTGTAAACTTGTAGCAGTCTGTGGTAATATAGCTTAACCCAGAAAGCAGCCTTTTCTATAATCAATTTTACATTATCTTCAAAAGGTTAGTCAGTTTAACTGTATTGATTATGATTTTGCACAGTGTTGAACCTGAAACATGTAGTATTTAATGAGTAGGATATCACTTTCCTCCATGCATTGGTTCAGTGATTGCTCTTCAGTTGATTGAATCTGTTCTTTTCTGTCTTTTGGTTTACAGGTCAACCTAAACTCCCCCTGGAATGGTTCCCTCCGCGTCTGAAAACCTTCATCACATTTGGGTTATCTGCTGGCATCCAGTGTATCATTACCACATTGTTTTCTGTCATTTATTTCCATTCCAATAATAACAGTTTCTTTCTTGTAAGTAATGTTTGTTAAAATCTTCTTTTCTTTTCTGGCTCTTGTTAAATATTTCATTGTTTTGTGTCTGTTCTGACAACTAAGTATTGTTGTTGTCTTGACTAATGTTTTGCATACACCTTTCTGGCATTTTTTTGCATGGTCATCTTGGAGTCACCGGACATGAATGGATTTTTTTTTTTACCATTTTTGTTGACTCTTAAGATGGAGCTACATTTTAACATGACACTGAAGCTGTCCTTGGATCAGTCTTTTAGCACTGATATGAGCTTTGTGAGTATAATTAAAAGAACATTTTGACCAAGTCAGTTCATACTCGTAACATTTGTCGCGTTTACTACCTGTGGAAGAAAACCTGAGAAATGCCAGGAATGTGTCGGGGCAGAAGAGGTTGCTCTCTTGATGATGTGTTGAGGGAAAGTGATGATCCACTCGTCTTGCCGAGGGCTCCACTTGCCCCCAGACAGTGACCTGTGCTGATAGACATCAGAGGTCTGCGGCCTAAACCAGATCCTGCTTTAATACTGGGGAAAATTGGGAGAAAACCACTAAACTGGATGACCTGGCTGCACCTGGCAGACTTGGCGGGGGGTGGGGGGTGTTAACACTAAAACAAAATGGTCATGAGGCTCACTTATAGATATGCATTATTTTTAATTGTGCATTATCAGTTGAGAAGCCTGAGTGGTAAATTCAAGTTCTGCCAGTGCTGAAACACTGCCAACTTGAGTTCTGTCCATCTTTTAGTTTCACTGCGCCGTGGGTTTGTTTCTAACTCATTTATTGAGAATTACATACAGAGAAACGCAATTTTAAAAAGAAACATTCTCATAATTGTATTAATATAGAAGATAAAAGATGATGTTTCAGTATGCTCGTACTTTTTCATCATTATCGCTGAATTTATCTGCTGCAGTTTTGCGAGTTGTTACACTGGTGACAGAGTCAGACGCAGCGCAGACCTTTTTAATGCAGTATTCGGTAGCGTATGAATGGGAACAGCGAACGCAGCAGTGCCCTGCAAAAGTCTAAGTGGTGTCTTTTTCCCTCAGTTCAGATTTTCAATTGCAACTAATGCAATTTCTGAAGCCCTTCAGCCAAAGCAGCAGAGAAGATATAGATGTCAATTATTCTGTTTAAGAGCCTCAATTTTTTCTAATGGCTCTATCTGCTTCTGCGGTATCCTGGAAATGATTAGTTCGGTTTGGTTAAATGATGTAACTAATTCCCATGATTGTCGATAATGAGTCTGTCTTTGACGTTGGATTATGACTGCAGCTTAATATGAAACGGCATTCGTTTTGGGACATAATTACTGCTTATGAAGCAGATGTAGAATGGCCAGGGGTTTGTTGTTGGGGCTACAGCGAATTACCTTATTTCCTGTCATCTTTGGCTTCCGCTAAATTGGAAAATTGAGTTCTTTGAGTGTGCATTAAAACTGTTAAGGTTTTCTTGTCTGTATTGGAAAGCTATTTTATAGGAGAAAGTAATTTAGCTGCCAATTTGTCAGGTGCATTAAAGCAATTAGTATTTTTGGGACCTTGACACAGTTTCCAAAGAGCTGCAAATGTAGAGTCTTTTGTCCAGTACTTTAAAGGATTTATTAAGGTCTGTAATTTAACAAATTGCAGAAGATACATCTGTTGCATTATCTATCAACATCTTCATCCAAGCCTGTCTCCACAGAGCTTGCTCCAGAGCTTTTTTTCTTTTCTTTTTTTTTTTTTTTTGTTTGTTCCTTCAGCAAAGGCCAAGTTAACCACATCTGTGGTTGTGTGGCCAGGCTCTGATTTCCAACCGCTGAAGTGTTGCAGACAGTTTGGCTCTACATGAAACCGTTACATGACAATTAAAATGGGTGATTGTGCTCCAACAGCCTGTCAGGTGCATTTAACCCAACCACAAAAGGCTCTTATGTTCACTCAAGAGGGCACGGATGACCTTCAACCAGACATCTTATCTCTTAAGACCGGCTTCTAATATTATATCAAGCTGATGATACCGTCCTTCATGAGCTGTGGAGAAATGGGGAAATCACATGATGCATCAGGAAAATATTGACAGCATTCTGTATTCTGGCTTGTCTTCTGTTTCACTGCCACATATTGCAGACCCGAGATGAAGACAGTGACACTGTGCAATAATGCAGTTTCTTCCTTTAACAGAAAATTAAGCAATTCAGTCGGTTTTAACGAGCATACAGCGAATTTGTATCATTATTTCACGCCAAAAATGTATTGTTTCATTGCAAGTCTTTCTAATCGAATGCTTGGAGAAGCGTCTGTGAAGGTGGTGCTGAAAACAGATTTCTAGTGGTGGTAGCAGTTAAGCAGCTCTTTGTGACATTGATCTCAGTAAAGCTGCCTTATGTCTAACCACAGGAACATGCATAAAGATTTTAAGATTTGTGGGTGCCACTTTCTAATAAGGTGTACTATAGAAAAGGGGGTTTCAGTTAAAACTAATGAAATTACCCATTGTTGATAAATCATTTATATATTTATATATATATATATATATATGAGTAGGTAATAAGCTCGTAAAGACATATTTTTCTTTTAAATTCAACAGTAAGACCCCCCAGTGGACAGTTCAGGCACTTATGTCTGCTGGGCTACAGAGCATCAACATCAAAATCCATCCATTAAAGGAATAGCTTGATGTTTTGGGAAATGAACTCATTTGTTTTCTTGCAGAATTAGATGAGAAGATTAATATCACCCTCATGTTTGTCTGTTAAAAAAGGAGCAACTGCACCATTGGTCAGACAAACCAAAACATCTAAAGTAAACACCTGGACTGTGGGAAATTATAACAGGCCCTTTCCACTATTTCTGGCATTTTATAGACAAAAAGATTAATCATAAAAATAATAATCTGCAGGTGAGTGTGGCTGTCATCTACAAACTAAGCTGAGCACAAGAGAAAATGAATGAGATGTGGGTGGTTTACCACTGCTAAACAGCTTCCTCAGGGAAACCCTGATGAAGATTTTCTCACCTCATAAAAACCCATCAAGTCTACACTTGTGAAATTTAATAACTTGTTAAAAAGATTGATTTTGGTCCTGATCTGTAGTTTTTTCCACAGGGTAAGTGGTCTGATATCCATTGGAGAGCTGTTCCTGATAAATTAAAGAAGTAGCAAAAAAGACAGCAGTTTATGCCACTGCAGGATGTACACCACCCGCATTGATTTTCATTTTCAACCTGGCAACCCAAAGCTCCTGATATCAGTGTTTATTACTGATCTGTAAAACATCAAAGATTTCTTATTAAACATTAGTGTCATTTAGAGATGAACACCCACAGTTTGTACACAGCCATTAAGACCGGGCCAAAATCTAGACCATGGTCCTGTCCTGTAGAGAGCTGGCGTCCAGTTGCCAGTACATCCCAGCTGGGGAATGAAATCTGAGCCTTTTACTTGGATGTGGCTGTGGCCCTGCACCTACACTCGAAGCTGCCCCCGCCCCGGGGAGGCTTTTAAAAAGCTTCGGTGGGCAAGACAGCATCTTCTGGAGAGCATTGTAGTTACATTAGAGCCTAATTAGACGGTAAAGCTCAAGGCCATGTAACCCACTGCTAGGTTTCACACTCGCAGCCATCCATCTCTTTACAGTCCGGGCAGGCAGGGCCGCATGGGGCTGACTGGTGAAGGAGACTCTCACCTGGGAGCTGAGCCATAGTAAATCAAAAATCTCGGGGGGATGACAACAGGGTCACAGATTTTGGGCTTGAGGTGCCACTTTGGCTCCTAGGCTTTTAGTTGCAGATTAATCATTTGATAATGAGTCATGTGACATTGGTGTTTTAGAGTCAGGTCTGCATTGTTAGTTTAGACTTTGTATGAATAAATGTACAATATGCTGAATTTACATCACAGGCTCTGACAATGAAGAACCAAAAAAGTATCTTTGATCCAGACTGAAAGATCTCAACAGCTATTAGATGGATTGCCATTCAATTCTGCACATTCATGGTCTTCCTCCTCCACCAAGAGGTTCACTGTGTGGTTTTGAATAAAATATCCCAACAATTATTGGATGAATTGCCGTTTAAATTTTGTAAAGACATTCGTGTCCACTTGAGGATAAATTATAATCACTTTGGTGATCAAGCGGCTTTCCATCTAACACCACCATCGGGTCAAATTTCAACGTGTCCAGTACTTCAGTTTATGACAAAATACTTTCAAAACTGATGTGTGTTTTTTTGTCCAATGGTAACTTGCCAATGTTAGCACACCAGCATGAACACACACCACTACTAAGGCTGTAAATGTTCACCTTTAAGCCAACTTAGACCATTAAAGAGGTTTTCCATACGAGGCTTCCCTGAAGGTCAGACATCAAGATATCACAGTAAACATTCACTTCAAAAGTAAATTTGGGCTTTAGAGGGAAAAAAAAGTGCAGCAGTTGAATGAGCTTTCATGTCACCTGTCAAACTGATGAATGTATGTATAAAGAGGACAGGGGCAGTCGGTGCATCTGGGGTCATGTTTGAAAATGTATGGCCAGGGGGCACCAGAGCTCCAGAGAGGTGACGGTGAAAACGCACGGAAAAGTGAACTCTCGTTTGTGACTTTTGTTTTCCCAGAAAATGAAACAGCTCTGTCCTTAACTAGTGAATCATTTTTCTGCTTTATACTGATTGATTTATTCAGGTTTTCTTCCGAGTCATTCATTGTTTAAGGTGTTGCCTGCGAAACGGAGAGACAATATTTAAGTGTTCGTTACTGATGAAGGACACTCTTCCGTGTATAGGGTGTCATATTGTGCCATGACTGGGTTGACAATTTCCTCCAGGGGTGAAACCACAAACACTTAAACTGATCCATGTCCTATAGAGAACCACCTGTCAGGCTGTGTGAGAACTGAGGGCATGTCCTGCAGATCACACAACATACTCCACTTGAAAACATAGAACCTGTTGCATTGTACTGATGATTTGCGGTCAGCTTTGGAGTGACAGGCAGTTTTCTTTATACAGTCAAAAAAAAAAAAAACGGCGAGGGCAGATCCCATGGGGGACTTTGGAAAACAGTAACTTGTTATCCCCATTTAAACCGAAATCAGATTGCAGGGCTTTTCAGGCCAGCCTCTTTGTACGCTGCCTGTGTCTATGAAACCCTCTGTGCTGTTTAATGGGTTCATGGCCACAGGGCAAGGGTTACAGTTTGTCCTTCCTGCAATTAGCATTCACGGTTAGCTTAGCAGAACTAATGCACCACATCTTTGAGGCTCAAGTTCCCTGTGTGCCTCTGAGTGACTGCAGGCAAGATTTAACTGACTCCTTGTATCCATTTCAACCTGCATTATTAGATGTTATTGGCAAAATCCCCTGAAGAATATCATTTCAAGGCAACTGTTATCAGCCAATTAAGTGTCGGTGTCACATTGTTGCTCTTTGGAAAAACAGGGGAGATGGCTGATGGGCTTTTGTATACCATGTGCTGATACACAGTGTAGCTCCAGGTTAAATAGTTACAGGAATATTAGCACAAGGGCCACGTCTCCTGTGTCATTTGCACACCATAGATCAATAAGGGCCACTTCCACTCTATTGTCAGTCTGCATTTGTTTCTCATATGTTTTTGTCGCATTTCTGCATCACAACAACAACAACAACAAAACTTGGTTTTCCCTGTGACATTTAGGTCAAGACACTGTGATCTCATGGCAGTTTTCAGTACACAGGGACATTTACACCAAAGCTATTGTGGGAGCAGTTGTGGGCCGTAGGGATCTCATGGGTCTTAAGTGACACCACTGCTAAAGCGAAGCAGCTTGGAGCTGTTTGCTGCTATTAGCTTTCTCCGTGTTGTGTAATATTATATAGTTTATGTATGAATCCATGGACGTTTATGTAGGTTGACTGCAGCTTTGAGAACTATAGTAAATATGTAGGCTGTAATGAGGACTGTGGGACTTTCAGAGAACAAGTGAATGCATCTTTTTAAAATTATGTGTGAAAATTGAAAACAGACATAACAGTACAACTGAACACTGCTCTCAAGAACTAAAGGTGAAAGGCCCTTACATACATCTCTCACTCTTGAGTTAATAATTGTATTTATACAGCATTTCTCAAATACAAGTTACAAATTGCTTCGCAAAAAGACATAAAAATAAGAAGATGCATAGATCTGAGCAAAATAAAACATTACTTTATAAATTAAAGTACATATGCAGGGAAAAATCTATGTTATTGAATATGAAATACATTTGTCATTTCCTAAGTGCATTCTGTCTGAGTGATCTGTGACTGCAGTGCATTATGGAGCCAAATCAATGAGACAAAAAGGAGGTGCTTTCATAAACAGTTTTTGATTATTGAACATTATTAACTTTTCTGAATTCAGCGAAGTGAAACAGCGTGTTGACCCATCGACTCAAATGCAGATTAAGCAAACTAATGTGAATACAGAGATCAATGCATTCATCCACTGATGTTTTATGGGCGTAGAACGGCGATGCATTGAGAAGTCTGGCTCTAATTCATCATCGTCCACACATTATATTATTATTGATGGCTCTTGCCTCAGGCTAGTCCATTTGTTTTTTAGATTTGTGACAGGCAGGCAGCAGAATGCTGGATGGAGGTTTATTCCGCAGCCATGCCAGCAACATCGCACACTGCTCGCTCTTATTCATCTATTGACCATCATACCTCCCAATAATCTGGCGCCTGACACATTTGACAACATTATGTGGAACAGGTCAGAGGACTCCGCTAATGAAACTGAATGATGGATGTTGTTATCCGCAGCATTAACCTTGCTAATAGTTGTCACAGGCAGCACATTTACACACACGTAGCTGCAGCCCTGCAGAGCCTGCTGGGATTGTCATAAAAAATAAAGAGCTGCTCATTCAGTGAGGTGGTCCAGAGGCATGTGCAAAATAAATAAACACAATAAAACAGCACACAGTGTTGCAGCTCAGCAAGCATTAGCGGGTCAAAACATGTCGAGGTGAAAATTGGACAAAATTTGATTGAAAAGAGAGACTTTTTTGGTTGTCTAGGTTACATTTTAACAATTGTTTTAACAGCATATAAATGACCATATTTCATTGTTAAGGAGATTCTAACTACAATTTGAAATATAGTCCCTGAAATGCAATTGAAACAACAGTAATATGTAATTTAGATGGTAAACTTTCACTTTTCAGTCAAATTTAATCAGGTTTTAACGAAGACGTCAGAGGTCTTGTGACCAAAACAATACTAACTCAGTAGGTGTTTCTTGAAAAATATTAACTGTGAAAAACTGGCTTGGGAAAGGGGAAAAACAAGATTGTTAAGGGGATGAAAAAAGCAGTAGGACTGCCGCATACTTTAGAGATCTGACTACAGACCTGCAGGTGAATTTTAGCTCTAGTAAAGAGTCAACAAAATAGAAGTCAGCACAATAAGATACTAAATCACACATTATTATTGTTTTTTTAATTAAAAAAAGCATGTGAGCAGATATTTTCCATGTCTGGAGTCTTAGAAAGGAGGTAGAAAATGACATAGTAAAAATCACATTCTGTGCGAACACTGTGAGTGAAGTCATAAGAGAGGTCTGTAACACCAGGGGTGAAGTGAGCTGTATGACTGCGAACGCTCGGCTCGGCTCTGCTCCACTCCATCCATCCCGCATGGCTAATGTATCCCTCTCAATAGTCGGGGACAAGGGGAGAGAAGACTGCTTGTGTGAAGCACAAAAAGCCCCAGCGCAGCCATGTTCGCAACAGTAATTGGCAAGGAAGCTTCATTTCATTCACTCCTGTATGTCTTTTGTTGTCCTGTAGGTTTTTACAAGTGTGGTGCTTTTGAGAGTTGTTTAAAAAAAAAAAAATGGCTAATTTCTGCAGCCCCCCTGCCTGTCACCGCCATGTGCCCATTTATTTATTTTTAACGAATACACAATGGAAAGATTCTCCCTTTAATTTGGTCAACACTGAAGTGTATTAACAACCAAACATTTAGCAGTGTCTTGAGTCTGAGTACCTTACTTAATTTTGAACATGTGCAAGAAGTGGAAAAACATTTAATCTCTTATGAATCCTGCTGCTTTCACACTCTGAAAGCTTTGTTGCTGTTCTGTAAAGTAGCGGTCACAGAATAGAGGTTGGTGGGCATTAGCGGGAGGACCTGGCTCCTTTCATCATCACATTGCAGTAGTTGTATAAAAGCCTGCAAAATGTAGCTCGTAGTTACATTTTCACCACAATTACACTCTATCCTGTTGTAAAATGCTTTAAAAGATTTTTCACACTCACATTGGTGCATTTTTTTCCCCCCTCATAAGCACTCTTAACCCTCAGATACACCAGTTTTATACAAATACAGCTGCAAAGAAAGGTCTTGGGGGAATAGCATCTACTTACTTTGTCAGGTACAGCATTATGTTGTATATTTCTCTGCTTTATTCTTTCATGGATCCTGTATTTCCATAAGTATTTACATGTTTTCATCCAGCTGTAACAATGTTGTATGCCAGTGGTTCCCAAACTAATTTGCTTGTGAGCATCAAAGAGTAATTTTGCCTTCTCAGATTGTTTCATACAGGATTGAACAGGTTAACAAGTGGAGTATTTCTAATCTCAAAGGTGGACATCTCAAATTCCTGGTCAAATAAACCCAAAGCTAACTGCATGATGGTTCAGTGACAACATTTGCTTTTTTTAACATTTGGGTGAACTGACTCCTTAAGATACAATAATGGTATATAATCTTAAAGGAGCTATTTGTAAGTTTTGCTACCGCTACAATGCTAGCGTTAGCATTAACAGCTGTTACCAGTCTAGAAGAAATGTTGCGAGTTCAGCATCAAACTTCATTCCTTTACTCGCCAAGAGTTGTCTCCAGCAGTGGAAAGCAATGCTAATGTTAACTTCAGTCTCTATCCCGTCTTTTCTTCTACTGATATTAGCACGCTAACCACTGTAGCCTCCAATTTGCCCTGAAGACGCAGCGCTGCTCAGAGGGCGTATTATAATCTCTTGTCTCATAAAGGCAACAATGGCAGACGCTCTTGTCAAGCGGCGATCATTACCAGCTGTTTGGTGGCTAAGAAAACTTAGAAACAGCCTCTTAAAAGTCATATTTAGGAGAAATGCTTTTGTAGCTAAAACTGATGGATTTAAAGCTGAGGTGAGCTTCTACAGGCAGATAAGAGATGCCAAAGCAAAGTGATGTTCAGAATTGTTAACTGCTGAATATTAGTGCACCAGTAGTTTCAGTGCATTTTCACATTGTATTTATATTGGGGCACAATCAGAGCAAAGAGTCATTCCCCACTTAGAGTAAACACAGCTTTTCCCGTGGGGTTAGACTCTTAGTACAACACAATCTCTTCTCTAGGGCCCTTTACAGATGAAACAGGCTTGCATCTCAGAAAATATTACAGTTAAAAAGAGGATGTTGACCCCCCCCCCGACCAAAGCTTTGAGCTGAAGCAGCAAAATCACAGAAAATGAGGGAGGTTCACATATTGGGGTCAAACTGTTTGCTGAGTTTGTTCACCTGAGTAGGCAAGAAGCGTTGCAAACATTTTGGAGAGAGAAAACAGTTAATGTCCTCAGGTACTGACCCATATGAACACAGCGCTGTGGTGCAGGAATTCCAGCTGAATGGCTGTGGCTGAGACAGTGGCTCATTCCTTTGGATATGTCATTCGAGAGCGATCTGTTGCTCATGTGCAGGCTGCTCAGCAGTTCCATGTCCTTTACAAAGGAAAGGTCAGACCAGTCACCTGACCTGACAACCCTGGGGACTGTGCCGAATGGCTACAGGTCAGAGTTGGACACCTGGCCTTATCGCAGGGGTCAAGACTTTTAGTTCTTCACTTACTTGTGTCAGCTCACCAAGTCTTTCTAATATAGATCTTCCAGATAGAACACATATCTATAGGTTATATGATGTACTATATATGTTTACTGCAAAACAAACTGCATATTTACAGCTGATTGTGTTTTACTATAGATTCACTTAAACTCAATATCCGGGAGGATTTCCATAACAGAACCTTCATTGATTCAGTTTCCAGAGGAATTGCAGCCTGGATCAGTTTACCTTGTTACCTTGTCACACTATGTTCTGGTCTGATCTCCATGTCCATTTCCGCTCGGCTCCCCCTCGCCCCCCCCACCCCACCCCAGTCACCACCAGGCCGCCCAACAGAGCTCGCTTTGTCCCTGTGGCCAGTCATCCATTCCTAATCTCCAGTCTTTTACCGCGCTGGAGACGTGCTGCATGCTTTCAAAAAGCAGAGTGAGCTGTTGATGCATGCCCTCCATCTTCAAAATGAAGCTCTGAAGAAGCCTTGTGACCCAGTACTGACAAATGACCGAATATTACAGATCGTTTGCAGCATGCAGATCTGAAGGAAAGAAACCCGGGAGGGGCCACCTCATTCAAAACCTTGTAAATCATTATGAGAAGCATTGAATCATTAAATCAGTTTATTACGACACCAGATAATACAAATACATGTAAACATAAAAACACAATGACTGAAAAAAAAAACACACCAATGAATAAAACCACCATGCTTAAATCAATCAATGAAGAGTATGGTAAGCAGTCATGCTTCTTGAAAGTGCTTGACGTTTTTTTTTTTTTTTTTAAATGAACAAATTATTCATTTAATGAAAATACAATAAAACCAACCTGCACCCACCACTCATGTGAATTACATACAGTAATTTTTTCCTTCTCATCCCAGATCATATAATGGTGCCACTACTGTTTAACAAGTGCTGTGGAGAAAACTGTTCCTGAGGACACTCTTTAGTACTGAAGTTTAAATATACAAAGACAGTGAATTCATCAAAAGCACTTACAAATTCAAGCAATGTTGACTGACATCTCAGAACAACCAGAGTCTAAAAAATGTGCGCCTATTAGTGCAAACAGCACAGTGCTGTTTGTACAACCACCAATGATCTGTCCCTCCCTCAGGTGAAACAGTAAACAGACATTTTGAAAAAGTGAGGAGCTTGAGTACAGTGTAATGATGTTTCAGGTAGAGAGATGCCATGCAAAGAGATACCATCAACACGGAGAGCTCCCTCTATTGCATTAGCTAAAGGCACTGATATCTTGATGGAAATAACTTCATTTTGGCCACTACCAGGCCCAGTAAATACAATTGCTAGCTGTTAGCGCAGCTGTGTAAGCCTGGTAACTGATGGAAAGTGACTCAGACACAGTTATGAATGGCGCTGGTGGCTGCGCCTGTGCGCTCTTGAATACGTTATCGTCTCCTCTGTGCTGTAGAGCATATTAATAAAGCACCTTACAGTTACACCGTCTAAACAGACCGTAAATCACTTCCCATTAAACCCATAGAGGCAGTAACATGCTCGGCCCTCATCGCACTGGAGGCCACCGGTTTTTAACTGCCACAATTAACACATTAAACACTTCAATCCTGAACTGATGTGACACAATCAGCTAACATAATGATTAATTAATGGCTAGTGTAAAGTGTGGGCTAGCCCTAGAAATTCAAAACAAGAGAAAGTTAATCAGGCTAATTGTCTGAAACCATCTTCATTAACATAACATTGCCACTGAGGATCGTAAAATCAGGAAAATTGGCAAATGGGGCTTTTTCTTTTCTTTTCTTTTCTTTTTCCTTAATAAATTCTCACATAAAGACATTCAGGACTTGTACTATTGGAACAATATAACAAAATACAAACACTGCATAGTAAAAGGCACTCAGTAAAAATGAACTAAATAAAGAGTTTTTTTTTTGCATCTGCACGTTTGTTGTGAGGGCTATCCTCTTTATTGCCCATACACACGGTCATATGCTGAGTGTGATGCTGTGAATGGTGTCCGCTGGGATTTTGGCATCTGCTTCCTCCCCGCTGATCCTGAAGATGACAAAGGTGTTGGATGGGATGGTGGTGGTGGCGCTCACAGATTTACCCAGCCAGCCATGAGAGCCACGCTTATACATTTTAACTGTTACCTGGGAGAAGAGAAAGAGGAAATACAGATAATTAAGGTTAGAGAGTGAGAATTTATTAAGAAACTTCTGGTCTTCAAGTGGCTAAAAACAAGGTGCTTTTCATGGATTGTCAGGGCTTTTCCTGGGGTCATGACCCTGACTCGGACCTTCTGACCTCTGGTTAGAGCTAAGCAGACACTCATGACTTTCACCTTTGACTGCTACATTTACAAGCTGTTGCTTGGTCGGTTGGCCTGTAGATTGAACAGCCAGTATAAACCTAGTGATTCTGGCTTGTTGAAAGAGGGACTGGGATTAATCCATGACTAGAATAAAAAAAATTTGGTCAAGCTTGAGGTCCATTTTGACCACGAAAGTATAGATTTGGTATCTAAGCTTCTTAGACATCTAGATTACATAATAATTATTCCCACAGAATTGAATTTCAGTTTATAACTGGTAAATTCACATTGAAATGTAGTCCTTCAAATAACATAGAAAACGTTGTATGTCTATAGCCTACATGTATAAAAAAAATGTGTTTTTTAAAAACTATATTTAGCCTGATTTTAAGGAAATGACAAAATCTATGCTTTATTTTTTTTCATTACTGGTTAATCTGCTGATTTTCTTGATTAACACATTTATTGATAAATCTAAGAAATATCATAAAATTGACAGAATTGACAGTTAAAACCCCAAACATATTCAACTCAAAAGTGACTCAAACAATAAATTGATTAGCAAAATCGTTGCTGATTAATTTGGACTGATCGATTAATAGGCTGATTTTTTCAGTTATACCATGTTTACTGGGGAGGTCAATTATAGTTTGAGGTGTGTATTACATGGTAAAAAAACAAAAAAAACAATTCTCCTTTATTGTAAGATAATACTGAGATACGCTTTAGGAACCAATTCGTTGTTCAATGAAATAGCTTTTGGAAAAATTAACTTTCCCTAACCCTGCAAAAATTTTGTGTCAGAAAAGCTGTTGGAGAAGTGATCCGACAGCAGTCTAAAACAGAATAAATATTAAATTAACCTTGTTCTCGCTCTGAGCTTTTTTAATTCCCCTCCACATCTTGAATGGAGTCATACCTCTCTTGATTTTATGTAGGTTGTAGGGCATAATACGCTTTAACACTACATCAAAACTGCCTGTTATGTTTGAGCCTGACAATGGAAGCCTAACTAGATTTAGACATGCAGGTAACTGAACCACATCCATTTCAAAAAGAATGCCTCGCTGCATCTCTTGTTTGGCTGCATTTACAGGGGATAACAGAATATTACAGTGCCTTTTCACAGTTCCATTTTCTTTCACTTTAGCATTAGGCAATTTTTCAATTATTATTTTTTTTCCATGTTCTTTCATCCCTGGCTCTCCATAATGTCTGGGCCTTTTAGTTAATGGTAGCGACAGTCAGAGCCCAGTATATCGGCCCTTGTCCATTTTGCAGGTCATTGTGGAAGCCCAATAGGCCTTTTATTACGCCGACATCAAAAGGCAGATAAGCATTAGAGGTGGGGAAAATACCCTGCACTAGATATGTTCCCTCTTTCCTTTGTCTGCTATTGAAAGTGATCATTTTAATAGTGAAGAGGTTGGTGAGCTTTGGGGCTGATGGGAAGTGCGACACCCCTGACAGCCTACGAATATGAGCAAGTCGATAACACAACACAAGCACACAACACCTGCACACTCTTGCTGCTAACCTAATTATCCGCAACAAAGGCCACTGCGATTTCAGACACACATCTTTCCACCATTTAGTTACTTATTAGTGTGCATTAAAACAGGGAGAAAGAGAGAGAAAAACTAAACAATTGTGTCTTATATTGCAGCCTTGGCCGAACGCCACATGGCTCGTATTACAATAGCATCAGACACTTCAGAGTGAGTGAGTGTCTATTAATTTAGGATGCATGAAAAAATAGCCTCATGACAGCTGGTGGCAGAGAGGCATATAAACCAACACAAAAACATCAGAGAGGAATTATTCTAACAAATTACAGCCAAACGTAATAGTTGGTAATCAGCAATTAACTAATTTAGTGGAACCAAAGTTGAGTACTTCCATCTTTGCGGCGTTGCAGAGGCACAGACACAATACTGGTTCTGCCTGGACATAAGTATACAAAATATTCACGTCATTTAGCAAGAGCAGTGTGAGAGGCTACGAAACACACATACTGCACATACAGCATCCAAAGAGCATTTACCTCCGTCAAGGCTGCACAATATTCTGAATGTTCTTTTAATAAAAGAAAATATGCAGAGCAGACAACCATGCTGATTGGATTACCTGCCTCCAACAATCTGGAAACTGGTTATTAGAAAATGGTGTGGAAAAAAGAAAAGAAAAACCCTCCAAATAGAAGAAAAAAAAAGAATTTTGGAGGCCTTTTTTCAAAAATATTATTGGGATTATACCAATGAGATTTGTAGGAATCAGGACTTAAAATTGATAGCGGACAATGGTTTAGACAACAATGAATGCATCCTATACCAACACATTCTACAGAAAATCTATAAGAAAATCCTGTATGATTTGAAAATCAAGCACTAAAACAAGTCTGATTTACGCAAGTCTTCCTCTGCCATACAGGAAGGATGCTGCCGTCTTTGGCATCAAATCAAAGAGGGGAGTTCTGTGTGGTCTAGACTACCTGCCTGCCAGGTGTTGATCTATAGAGACGATGTGTCAGGTACAGGAACTGTTACTACATGCTACCCTTTTAACCACTTGAGGCAAGTGTCTGAGGGTGAAGACGATACAGTGTCTTATTTACAGTGGAACAAAGTGTAAAGGAGCGGCTGACATAAAAAAATGTTACTTAAAGTGCAATCTGCATCCTACATGTCACAGCTGCACAGCTTTCTAAACGCCAAGATGAACAGTCGCTAAAAGTGTCTCACTTCTGTCTGTGAATTGTCCACAAGTGGACGAGAATCATCACTATTTCAAGCACAGACAGGCCTGAGTGTGTGTGTGTGTGTGTGTGTATGTGTGTGTGTGTGTATGTGTGTGTATATAGCTCTTCATTGCGAGGATAGGACCCTTGGGGCTAAGGTTGGGTGTCACACAAAGGGCTGAAAGCTCACCTAACGGTGTCTACCCCCTGTTCAGCCTCTCACTTTCGGTGTCGGGGGAGTCGTGTGAATGACATCACTCCTCACATTTCAACGAGACAAACTCCATGTTCTTATTTACCGTCTGCTAACAATCATAAATCCTGCCTCTGGTTCACTGTTGACCTTTTACCCTCTTAAACTCAAGACAACAGCTCATTCTCCATCTAAAAAAAAAAGGAAACCTTACAAATAGCTGATGGCTGTCTTCACTGGTTTCCTTATCTTCTACCTGTGGGGGTGTTTATGTCACAGATTCTCAACCAGGTTGGTGTAGTGACAGTTCAGAAATCCCAAATGACTTCTTTTAATTGGCAAACAAAACATATGAACATGCATCACGAACTTGCAGATCATCTAATTGTTCCGATATTAATGTGATTATTTGCCGTTGAAGGTCTGACAGGTGTGATGAACATGAATAATGTGAGGAACTGTGTAATTGGGTAGGGACGTGTCACCACCTGTGTGTATTGCCATTGACAAAGTTCAGATTCTTCCCTGATAAAGTCAAAGAATCCCAGCGGGGTATCAGTCAGCAGGGGCTGTTACCCGGAGCCATGGGTGCAGTGTTTCAGGTGAACTCTGAGTGAGCGTAACGCCACACCGGCCTCAGACGACGGACTCTTTGTTCCACACCGTGTCTCACCAGACACAGATGGGGAGGAACACTGAGTAACACACCTCTGGCACACCAAACATCTTTGTCGACGAGCCAAATGCGATGGAATCGGACCAAGTGTTTCGCTGTCATTTCGGCTGGATGTAACGAGGCAATTAGGTAAACACTGTGTGGTTTGGCTCACTAGATGAATATATTAACGACCTGGGAGGAGAGGTGTGAATCACTGGATTATCAGGGGTTTGATTCAATTCCTGAACTTGCTGGTTTGATCCAAGACAGATTATTGTTTTTCTCAATTTGATTTTAGTTTGGATTTACTGACTCAGAAACATAAGACAAATAATATGAAGCTAACTTTATTCTATTACAAGGAGAAAAGAAAATTATGTTTTTAACATTGTTCTAAAATAAGATAAAAACATTAGGTAAGAATCAGAAACACTGAAAACTTTTTCCATAAATAGTGTTCAATATCTAATTTAAACTCGCTCTATGACAATCTTTCATAGATGTCTGGTACTCATCAACTATAACTAAAGTTATCAAAGGGTGCATCAGTTTAACATACTTTATAATGTATTTATCTTTAGAGTAGACTTTCATCTTTTCAGTCATTATGGTAATTTTCTAAAATCATGCTGTCTTAAAATAATTCCATGTACAATTCACAGCAAAGTATAGACGGTATCTGAAACCCTGCAAATATGGCGTCTCCCTACCTTCAAATGTATAAATCTTTGAGAAGATGATGAAAAATGGTCCATTTGTTTTAATTTAGAAAAACCTCTCTCAAAAAGCAGGATAGGAGTCAAAAGGTTCAACAAGTTAAACAATTTCCCCCATTTTTGAATATCTGTTCATTGTTGCCTGAACAGTGCTGAGCACATTTCACTCTCAGCAGTGTAGGAGCAGTTGTCGTAATATGAATCTATTGGCAGTAACAGCAATAACTACAAGTATAAGTAAGTAAACTAGAACAATCAGGTTTCAGCCATTTTATCCCTTTTACCGGATTGATGCATTAAATTTGCAAAATTTATAATTGACACATCAACAATGCAAAGAGTGAGTCTTTGACTCATTGTTTCATAGGTTTGAAACAAAAAAGTTAATATCAGTAATGATTAATCTGTCAAATTATTTTTTCTATTAATTGCTTAAATGTTATAAAATGTATAAAATGTCAGAAAATACTCAAAAGCCCCCATCATAAGTTCCCAGAGCCAAAGGTGATGTTTCCACAGTGCCTGATTTGCCCAA